ATTTAATGCAAACCTTCTTTCCACCTACTTCCTAATTAAACTAAATTCTTGAACCATTTTCACGCGTCTGCCGTGTCGTCTAAAAAAACGTTTAATCCCATATGAATTCCAACTCCTCACGTAGAGAGTAATATGTGAATTAAATGGGTTTAACTTAAGACTTCCAATTACTTTGCACTTCTTTTGGACGAAATTAGAAACCTTTACGTTTTCATGCGTCGCCTTCGAGTGCTTGGCAAATATCATTTCACCTTTTTTAAGTGACTTGAGAAAAGAAGGAAGTTCTCAATGTGTCTGTTTTTTATAACACCAAGAGACGGGACGTAGAAAACGTGCGATTGAAATAGAAATAGAAACCATTTATTGTAACGCCACATTAGAAATAAAAACAAAGACTAATATAACTAAAACAGAAATAACACAAAGAACAGCGTAAAAACATTTCAACAACAAGTGACATAGTACTATACTGACATGTGTGCGGCTGTGGCGTGTACAGACAGATCCCATTCAGCTAAAGTCACAACCAAGGCTAGGTTGTGACGCTGGTTTTCAATGGGCCCTAGCCGAGTGAGTGAGAGTGACAGACGTATGCGTCCCGGAACAGATAATAAAATAAACTACGTAAATGCATATATCATGAGTGTGTATAGTGTTATTGCAGAGTGTACTCTTATATCGAATAAATACTTACATAATCTTTGCAATATATACATACAGGTATAAGTGTGTGTAGTGTGAAAACAAATTAATAAAATATATAATACATATTTGGTGGTTACTATACTGGTCTGTCCTTAACAGTTGCAATGCCACTTCTTCTTCTTCTTCTTCCTGCCCTTATCCCATCGGCACAACATATTTTTTTCTCCTATCAGCCGTCATTTCCATATTCACCTTTCTTATCCGTGTCATCTTTAACACACAAAGCGAGCTGCTGGCGCTGGTGGATTGTAATGTAGATTGTAACGTTAACCGATTGGAATTTTCTGTTGCTTTGTAATGTAGTAGAGTAGTAGTAGCCTAGAAATAGTGGTAATAAATCCAGTTTTATAAATATTGTAGCAGCCACAGACGTGCCAGAATGTGTAACCCTCTTGCGACATTCAGGCACGTCTTAGTGCAAGCAAAAGTTACAATCATGCCTTGTGAATCAGCATAAGACACACGTACCAAATTAGTGTAAATAAGTAGCTCAAGTAAATACACCATCAGTTATAATCAGTTCATACATTAATATACAGTCATTTACCAACCCACGACTCGTCTATCATTCACCACTAAACTACCATGGCGAAGTGGTGATCACCAACACCTTTTCACCTGCGCCATGGTAAAAATATTATTCCTGTTTTGTTAATATTTGTGATCTTTAAAATGTTTATTGCACAAGAATTTTTTGGTAACCGGTACACTGTTCAAAACAAATAACAAAAAGACGTGTTCGCTGCCGCGATCGGGCAGGGAGTGACAATGGAACGAAACAAAATCAGAAGGGCGATGCAGAGGAATTATTAAAGAACGATACACAATTTAAAAACGAGTTTCCATGAAGCGGAGAAAAGGCGATAAAAAGGTGGACGATGTAAGGAGGTCACATCGTCACAACACAATCCATTCACCTTTTCTTTGGCTTTTCTCCACATTCACACCTAACACTCTTCTCGCCACATATCATTCTTCCCTCCGCATAACAATGTCTTAACTTAATACAACTTAAGATGTAACCTAATTGAGTTAAATTGACTATGTCAGGTGTACTATAATACAGGAAATGTCAATATGGATTCTTAATAATCTCAGTACAGAGTACTAAAAAAACCGACCTCAAAAGTACGTGGAATTACATATAATTACCATGTTTTATTGAAATCGGTTACCGGGTAGTGCTCAAACCCGGATTCATCCCCTAGTTCGCCACTAAAATAGAATAAATGTCGATTCTCACTTCTCAAAGTATATTCGAGAGAGAAAAACGCCTTTAGTTGGAGAATAGCAAAATAAACCATTAAAATAATTGCTGCTTATAATAAAATTTAGGTGCTATTTGTAAAAATGAATCTTTATGCGTGAACAGCCAGCCTTAGAGGTCGATGAATTTCTTCAAAATTAAATGGGACCACTATGGAGATACCCTGTTTCCAACAAAAAATCATGAAAATCGGTTCACAAATACCGGAGTTATCGCGTAACATATATACAAAAAAAAACATACAGTCGAATTCAGAACTTCGTCCTTTTTTAAAGTCGGTTAATAAGTAATATATCTAATTTAAACTACAATAATGTGTCGAGTTCTTAGGTTTTCGCGATTGTTACACATAGGAAATGAAACTATTTTTCCGGATTTAAATCGCGTATATCACGTTCACGGTCATAGTTGACCATGGGACCTGTAAAGGGCTCGAAACGTCGGTTTGTTTAAAAAAACAAATATACGCGATTTAAATCCGGAAAAATAGTTTCATTACAATAATGTAGTAAATCGACGCCTTCCGTTACTCTCATCTCTGGACTGTATTCGCACTTTCCATCAGGCGCGGTGCAGTCATTTTGCCGAGTCGCAATAAAAAAAAATAAAAAAACTTTCTCAAACTCGTATCTTAAAGAGTGGTTATTCAGGAGATAGCAAAACTTTCTATTTATTTCAATTTTCTTATCAAGGGTGTTAATTCGGATAAATTACTTTGAGAATACGTAAAAGCCAGTGTGTGAATATGAAGGAATAAGCCTGCAAAATTTGTATACACCATCCAATTTTTGCATTTCACTAGCTTTCTATTTTAAGATACGAGCTTGAGAAAGTAGGGCGACGAAATGACGAATTTATTAACAATATACATTGACTTACAAATAAATGGACGACTTCTCTAATACACAAACCACGAAAAAAATGTCCCAAGTCAACCTATTTAAACGTAGTGACATGTAAGGGAATATGAAAAAGCTAAAACGTTGAATTTAAATTGTAATGTCATCGCAGTACTGTCTAATTTTGCTTGCTTCGCTGTCAGTCGAACAAACGAAGACTAAAGCGTGAATGACGCTCTGTATAGGATTTTATCGCCCTATAAGTTCGGACACTTTTTAGCGCGGACCCGACGTCCATATAATTGTAAGTCAATGACAATATAATAATTTAATTGTTTGATGTACTCTGTTACTGAGTAAAGGGATTTTTCCAATAAAAGGTTCTTCAATTTGCGCCTGAACGTGTCCTCACAACATTCATTTTCTAGTTCGGCAGGTAGGTGCTCCTAGTACGTCGGTCCTATAGCCCGTGAGTTTTTCTCGTGTAGTGCACTGTACTGATCGGAGTTGTTCCGCGCCACCAGCACAAGACACCAGCATTGAGGCAAAGCGGCAGATATACAAACCATATTTGTTTTGCATAAACGAGAGATTCGTTCTGTGTACCGTTTAGGTTCTCGGATTTGGACCAACTCTATCATAGGGAGATCTACTGCTACTAAATGTCGGTGTATGTAACGCGATAATTCCGACATTTGTGAACCGATTACGATGATTCTTTTTTTGTTGGAAAAGGAGTACCTCAGACTGGTCCCATTCAGAATTGAAGATGTCGAGTAATATTTATTTCTTAGGTAAGCAAATTACACTTGACCTTTAAATTACGCGTGACCTTTTGGGAGGTAATGGAAAGTCAGTCGCGTCGTTTTTGCGATGGCTGTACGCTGAGCTGGGTCCTATACGCCACGGCAGCACACATGATACATTTTTCTATTATAAGTTGATTTGATTTTGTATTTGTTCTTTATATAATCCTGTTTTTGTTCCTTTTAAGTATTTACTTCATAGTTTGTTCTGCCTTTGTATTTCAAGTAATGCCTGTGCTTTATTGGCAAATAAACTATCTATCTAATTAGACTCTACTGCTTGTTCGTAAGGCAGATTCCCTTGAGAAGAATGAGCAAGAAGCTCTAGGGGTTGCTCTTCGTAAATATACATTTGAATACATTTATCATTACAATATTTAATTCAACATCTTAGATCGAGAATACCTGAAAGAGATAAGCGGGCAACTACAACGGATTTTTGTCATCCAAGTACGCAGAATTTGTATGATAACCTTTAGTATAAAGTTTTTGTTTCACTATAGTTTTAAACCTCGTAAATGGCAAATTTTGAATATCAATCGGAATCTTATTATAGAAGCGTATAAATTGACCTTTAAATGAATTTGAGAGTTTGTGAAGACGACTATCGAGAACGGCTAGCTTATGTTTATTCCTCGTATTAATGTTATGCCTGTCACTATTTTTCATTAAAAAAAATAATATTTTTCTTAACATTTTCATAATGTACTGTGACGTTAGTGTAAGAATGTTAATTTGAACTTATCTCTCATGGACACTCTGAGTCGCAGATTGTAAATTACCCTTACCGCACGTTTCTGCAGGACAAAGATTCTATTGATATCGGCGGCATTGCCCTAAAGCAAAATACTATATGTCATTGTACTGTGAAAGTAGCTACCTCTAAGGGGATGAATCAGATTTTAGGATTTCACTTTTCGTTAACCGATTTCAACACAACTTGGCAAATGAAAATAATTTCATAAACTTTTTAGGACGGTTTTTTTATTAAAAAAAGTTTTTTGTAATTTATTCAACGTTACGAGGTAGAGTGGAAGAAATAAAAAAAAATCATTATTCGATATATATTCATATAATGTTATATATTTCGTGTTAATAATACAAATAAATACATACAGACTACGTTTGCTAACACACACACACACAATTGAACTTAAGTACGAGTATTTAAGAACATATATTTATATATATATATATTTATAATTGTTGCCGGTCCATTCCATTAAACTCGCTTATGTCGTTATTCATCTATATATATTGAGATCCATCGGTTTTGTATAATATATATATGTTGAGCTAATGTTTAAAAATTTACATATAACCTTCATATTCCTTAATAAATCTTTCTATATATAGTTTTATATTTTAATAAATATCACATTGTTTTTTTTTCTTCACTGCTTTACCGTTTCTATGTACATTTTTAAACATTGATATATATCTATATATATATATTTTGATATGGGTTTTAATTTCCATTTCCATTCAGTATTGCAGTACTGAAGCAAAGGGTTGGTGGTTGGAGATTAGGTGGGCAAGGTGGACGGACACAAATTGGAGGTGGTTGGTAGGGTGGAGGAGAAGGTGGTCGTACCATAACAGGCTGTGGCTGTATGGGACTTGGCAGTGGTGGCCTCACAACGATCGGTGGTGGTTGAACCGGTGGTGGCCGAGGTGGACGGACCAAGATGTTGGGAGGTTGAACCGGGGGAGGGCAAGGTGGTCGTACACAAATTGTAGGTGGCTGTATCGGTGGTAAAGGTGGTGGCTGCACTGTCAAGGCTTGTGGGGTTATTGCGGGTGGCGGGGGTAGTTTGACGAGGACCGGTGGCGGTTGGATGATGACGTCAGGGTTCGATTTCACGAAGAAGGTGCCACCCTTCACGGGAAATGACTGGAAGCCGAGGCAGCGCAGGCGGTCACCTATGTCGCTTTGTGGTACTGCTGCCTTGATAACTCCGTCACCGCATTGTGCTAGAAGAGAAGGAACAAGGTTATTCTTCTATATTATTTAAGATGGAAGAATGGAAGGGTTTTAAGTGGACGTCCCAGAAGGATTTACATTGACCAGATCAGTGATGTCCTCAAAAAGGCTGGGATCCGAAGTGACAAGAATAGTTGATGTATGTGAGGCTCGAGAGATGTGTCAGGATAGAGCAAAGTGTCGTTCCGTGGTCTCTGCCTACCCCTCCTGTGGGACTAGGGCGTGAGTTTATGTATGTAAACAGTAGAGCAGTAGCTCTGGAGGCAAGGATGTGAATGATGTAAAATAATGCTTATGACAAATCTACCTATACATCTGCTATGTCCCGTGGCATGCGTAATTCTGTCACCGGATTTGCTGAAAAACAGTGTCGTAACAACCTTCAGTGAGACGACAATAGGCTGAGTGAATAACGGATTCTGCAACGGCACAGCGCATAGTCTGCCAGTTTTGCTAATTATTATTCGTTACATTAATGATTTATTTAAATTTTCTTCTGTTTTAATTATGATTTTTTTTCTCTCGTTCGCGTAAATTGTTAAATAGTTTCTAATGAGTCATGCACTGCTTCAATTTTGAATTATATCTAATTTTGCATTCGCAGGCTATTATGTACTTTTAAACGACTTCATAAAAGAAGGAGGTTTTCGACTGTTTTTGGATGTATTTGTGAACCGATTTTGACGATCCATTTTCGTGGGAAAGAGGGTACCTCAGTATTGGTCCCATTTAAATTTGAAGAAAATATTCCACCTCTAAGAGTGACAAACAAGGGGATGAATCCGGTTTCACGCACTTTCCGGGTCTAACTTTTGAAGTCGGTTTTTTTAGTACTAGGATTATACTTACTTATTGGTGGAGCGCAAGGATCCACGGGGTACGGTTTCAGTTGCGGTGTACACGGGTCAGGGGTGGCGCAGTTGGATGGAGGGGGTTGACATTGGTTACAGTCGGGGGGTGGACAGGCCGATGAGTCAGATGGACATGGGTACTGCGGTGCTCCCGAAGCCGTTGACAGTAAAGCTGGGAAATACAAAATTATTATAATTGATTCAAAGATCAAAGAAACACAAAGAAATATTTTTCTACGTGCTAGTTGCCGGATTGTATTTGGTTTCAATAGAGAACGACTTTTTAGCCGTAGCGCCATCTACGAGAAATCTATGAAAGTATTTCGTCACCCAGTTGGCTACCTTTACAGCTACCAGCCCTGGCTAGAGATGTTTCTATTAACTGTAATTAAATTTGTATTGAATTGATATTCAATTATTTTTTGTGAAATTACTCAACTAGTTTGTTATAATTATTAATACAAAGATCGAACACTCAGAAAAAATTCCTTCGATCCGGCCGGATTCAAACCGACGTTTTGTAGCAAACTGTGCCAGACGCTGTGCTCAGTTGGCATAGTATCTGACAAAGAAAAATTCCTTTAATCCGACTTGAACCAGTCTGTCGTCTCAACGTGGCTACCGCTCTTATCAATTGAGCTATCGATAGAACCAGTATTACGAATTTGTCTATATTCTTGTCACGGACCTTAGTATTAGGTTTAAAAGACTTTCTTGCCATAGCGCCACCTGTGAGAAACTTATGAAAGTTTCTTTATTCAACAAGGTACCTTTATAGTTACTTAAAAACTGACATAGATGTCGCTATATTTATTTCATTGAATATCATGATGTAATTTACAAGTTTTTATTGAATGTCACGTTATTTTACTACCATGATGTATTTTTTTTTAATAACAAAGAACAAACATAGAAAAAATTATGTCAATGCGGCCAGATTCGAACCGATGTCTTCTAGCAAACCGTGCCAGACCCTATGCCTACTAAGCCACGGAACGAACCAGCGGACCTCACGAATTTTTTTATGTCCTTATTACATATATTTGTTTTTAATGACTTTATTGCTATAGCGCCATCTGTGAGAAATCAATTTCTTCACTCAGCCAGGTACCTTTACAGCTCGTCGTGGTGAATGTTTACCGATCCCACGGCGCCGACTCAACCGGCAAGAGGGAAACCCGGGAGGGTTTTAGTGGGTTAGGCCGTCCGGTCTGGAGGGAGAGTCCCCACATAACCCCTGAGTCTCCCTGGGCTCAGGGGTATCTATAAAGATTCCCCCCCCCCCCCACAAAAAAAGTTACCTTTACGGCTACCAGCAGCTGACTAGAGATGTCGATTTTATAATTGTAATTTTTAACATTCTTGAATTTCACGATGTTTTGACCACCATAATATTCAATTATTTTTGTGAAATTACTCTACTACTTTGTTATAATTATTAAGACAAATATCGAACACTCCTTCTTCTTTTCCTTCTTCTTCTTCTTCCTGTCCTTATCCCACGCTAGGTGGGGTCGGCACAACATGTATTTTTGTTCCATTCTCACATCGCTATGGCTATCGTGAAGTTATGGCTATTATATCAACATTCATAATTTAGTAAACTTCATTTTGCTTTCCTATAATTATAAGTCTTAACTGGCCTCGTTGTCATAACTACAGTACAGTGTCTTTTTTGAAGACGGAGTAAAATGACGAGAGTTGCCAATTTTCCTAAAATTTTAAATTGTCATGTTTTGTTATTTAAATTTTTATTGAATTGATGTTTATTACGGCCCGAAACGTCGGTGTGTTTGAAAATACAAATATACGCGATTTAAATCCGGAAAAATAGTTTCATTTCCTATGTGTAACAATCGCGAAAAACCTAAGAACTTGAATTGATATTTAATTATTCTTATGTGAAATTACTCCAATAGTTTAATTATTAACACAAAAAAAAAAGATCACCCGTAATTTTTATACTCACACCTTTCTTATCCATGTCATCTTTCACACAATCCATCCATATTTTCTTTGACCTTGCTTTCTCCTTATATCCCTACACATTCATACCTAGCACTCTTCTCGTCACATAACATTCTTCCCTCCGTATGACATGTCCATACCACAACCTATTACTCCTCGACTTTTCCGTCTCTGGCACCACTTTCAAAGTTTCCCTGATGTACTCATTCCTTATCTTTCCTTTCTTGTCACTCCACACATCCACCTCAACATTCGCATTTCCGCTACATGCACAGTTCGTTCATCCTTCCTTTTCATCGCCCAGCATTCTGATCCATACAACATGACAGGTCTAATCACGGTCTTGTATATTTTCCCCTTTAGCTTAGTTAGTGCCTGTGACCTGAGTGTGATTCACGTACGTTCAAGCTATCAAAATATCGTTGAAGTTACGTAGTCGTTCGATCGAAGTCCTATCCAAAATGGGTAATCACGTATCACTTGAACGAACGTTGATATGAGTAGAAACGAAACGTAACGACTAAGGAACGACATCTTGGATTGTGAAATTTGACATTTAGTCTTCGAAAGTCTATTGAAAGAACTGTTAAAATTTTAGCAGAATACTTATGACATGTCGTTTAGAATCGTTTTAAGTTCGATTCATATACCAGAATACGCTTTAACGGCATTTGGATCGAACGACTTTAAAATTGTACTCGTTGACGTTCACTGTCACACGTGAATACGAAAAAGCAGTTCAACGACTAACTCCCTACGATATCGTAACGGTTTGATTACGTGAATCACCCGCCTGTCGCCATTTTATCCATACTGCACCTATTCTGTTCTTAACGTCCCGGTCTATCTATTTAAATACTGTATGTCGGACGGTGAACGGGAGTTGATCCCCACAACTGGGTATTACCCAAACCAGAAGCGGTATATAAAAGTTCATATTAGACATAACTGGTTGATGACCTTACCATCTCGGTCAGCCATGACCATGGGGCCTATAAGGGCCCGAGACGGTGGTTTGTTTGAAAAACAGTTAAAAAAATTGTTTCACATCCTTAGAAAACTTCATTTTCATCACACTTGCTCATAAACGGGCGTTAAAAATTACAAACTCGAGTCATTAAAGCCCTCAGCCTTGGGCTTCGGGGTTCTAAGAATCTCTCGGGAGTAATTTCTTAGTTTTCGCCCTTAATACACAATGTACTATTGCGTATTTATTATTATAAATTGTAATTAATTTACATACCTATTACACCCAACGCTGTCAAACGCCCCATGATGACAGCTCTATGTAAAAATATAATAAAAATTTATACTTATATACTAAAAACGTAGTTTATGTTGCGCACGGGGCCATTAAAAATTTGTTTTCTTCGCACTCACTTTAGCATATAAAAATTATAATATAATTTTGATTCAGTCAATTGAGCGTAATGTTAAAATTTAAATATCTATTTAGTTACAGATAAATGCTAACTTTTGTTTTTGATTCCTAATTAGTTACAGTATTATTAAAAATTGGAGTTACATAGTAATTTAACAGCGTCTTTTACCTGTTATTTAAAAGTTTCGAAATCAAAAACTCAAACAATAACCAATTCAATTGTATGAACCCATACACATTCCACTGCTGAACACAAATCCTATACAAAGTAACCGACACAGTTAGAGAACAAAGAATTTAAAGTGGCTATAAGCAGGCTATGCAATTCGAGGCATAACATCAGCTAGAAATAACAGATATGGTTCATTTTCAATGTTATAGGGTTGACAACTTTTTGTTTTATAATATCAAGTGACGCAAGTCGTGCGCCTGATGGTAAGGTACACGCATGTGCGTAACAGTTGCTGTGCCACTCAGAGCTTTATATCGCAAAGATGTGAGGGGCACTGACGGCGGAAGTAGATAAGGTGGAAGTCTGGACGAAATCTTTCACAAGCTCTACTGCTAATAAACTAAGTCACTTCCGGTACGCAGCCGCCATTTCAAAACTCTTTGACCCCATCGGCTATTTGTTCTGCAAGCAATGCTCACGTCCACTTAAGTTTTGTTATTCTTTGGGCTGTGTCGGTTACTTTGGTTCTTTTGGTTCTTGTGTGTGATAGTTACGCGATTGCTCCGATGTTTGTGAACCGATTTTAATGATTCTTGTTTTGTTGGAAAGAGGGTATCTTAGTATTGGTCTCATTTAAATTTGAAGAAAATATACCACGTCTAAAGGTGGCAAACTAGGGGATGAACGACTTTTGAGGTCGGTTTTTTAGTACTCTGTACTGATTGTTATGGTCATCTCTTTAGGAGTTGCCCCACAAATATTGCACTTACTTGATGATGAGTCAGAAAGGGCATTACATATTTTACCGTCCATTATAGTTAACTGCGAAGAGTGATCAATTTTCAAATCGCGATTATCAATTTTCTGTTTATTTATGCGTCCAGATGTTAATCGTTCGTCGTAGTCCAGCTACTGGCCGCAAGATGGCAGTACATTGATAAAATTTCAATATCAATGGCGACTGGATAAAGTTTAAATTATATTAACAATCCAGAATTTGTTACATCTTTTTAAATTAGAAACTATGACCAATCATTATCAAGATTTTGTAGTGTTTCAAATAAAGAAAGTGTTAGTTTTGGCGACAGAGGTTCCGATAGTAATCGAGACTTATGGTACTTCCATTGTTTTTTTCTTCCGTGGTGTGAATGAAAGTGGTTAATAAATTAAATATGTTCTTTTTTATTAGGTTAGTTTAATAATAATTTGTAATAATATACCTATTTTCTATATATACCTTTTTAACCGACTTCAAAAAAGGAGGAGGTTCTCAATTCGACTGTATGTTCTTCTTTTTTTGTATGTATGTTACGCGATAACTTCGGTATTTGTGAACCGATTTTCATGATTCTTTTTGTTGTTACAGCCGTCTTTGTTACCTTTACTTCTCTTTAACCGACTTTAAATAAATTTGTGGGCCTGAAGTTTTCTGTTTTACTGCCGTGAACCTGGTCACGACTTATTAGGGTTACAACCCTTTTAGTTGTATTGCACGCACAGAGCATTCCGAGAGCACTGAGTGTAGCTCTTTAACAGAGCGCTAGCGTACATTGGTGTGCAATAAGCTCTAAACAATTTTTAAGTGCCTATAATAAATTATAACGTACAATAAATTTTAATGATTAATTCGTTTTTCATCGATTCTGAGAAAGTCCACTTTTTGAGTTAATGCACAATTGTATTACCTCAAAAAGTGCGATATATAAAACATTTGATTTGCCCAATCCAGTACTTGAGAATTGGACCTGCCGGCAACCATTTTCAGAATGCTGTTGTGACTATTTATAACACGATTTATCGCTTGGAAGCCGTCTACTTGCGCCTCGGCGAACATGCCTGATGCACTGTACCTTCTTGGTAGACTCAACATCATCCTGAAAGCGTTATTATATTGAACGCGTACGGCGTCGTAAGCTCGTTTCATATACTTAACCCACAGGCAATATTAACCCAAAGTAAATAATCATTTATTCCATAGGTAACATTTTTACACTTGAAAACGTCATTTTTTTAAGCTACTGCCCGTTCACTACGCTGACCTCCCTGAGAAGAACAAGCAAGAAACTCTAGGGATTGCTTTTTTCAAATAAACTTAAATGCTACGGAATACACTTTGAATCATAATTGTGCGGAATTTAGACTCATGTTGTCATTCCATACGTCTTTACCAAACTCATATATACTCGTCGAGTTTTTAGGTTTTCGCGATTGTTACACATAGGAAATGCAACTATTTTTCCGGATTTAAATCGCGTATATTTGTTTTTTCTTTTTTTAATGATTTGGGTTCAGTTTCGGATATAGAATGGCCTCTGTAGATATGGCGAGAATGCAAATCAACACATTGTACAACGTTGTCTGTATGACTATAAAAATTATTTTAGACTCAAAATTAAGCCGGTATAATATTGTCTACATTATTGTACTAATAATAATAATAACGCACACACTCTACATAGGGGCTATAGGGAAACCCTGTGTCGTGGGTACCATGGACACACCCATAGACAACCACAAATTACAACTAAACTTACTAGAGAAATAAATGTAGGCCATACAAATATTTAGGAAATTTGAACCCTTTGATTTTGAGCACTTTCAGGTCCCATGGTCACGGTTGACCGTAACCGAAACGACGGATTGTTTGAAAAAAACAAATATTCGCAATTTAAATACGGAAAAATAGCTTCATTTCCTACATATATACTTTTCAATTTTGTAATATGACTTGAAATTGATTGGCTGTAAGCTTTAAATAAAGTAATTTTAACATGTGAACCTGCGAGTCAGCATATTACATATCACTGACAACGCCTTACGCTCCCTTTTTGTATCTTGGTCATTACTTAGATCTTAGTTCCCCAAAGTGGTCCCTACTGCCCTCAAGTGGGCGCTGAAAAGTCCTAGGGTAGGGGCCTCGGAAGCAATTGGGGGATTTGATTTTGTCCAGCAGGGCTAGCACGACAAAGCGCGACTTGAGTGAGATACTGCTATACTAGCTGAGATCTCGAGCAAGTCGCACCCTGCTGTGCTAACCCTACAGGGAGTATTTGAAAAAAAAACCTAAATTATCTGTATAAACTACACTACATATATATAATTAATAATAATAATAACGTACACACTCAACATAGACACTAGGGCAACCCTGTGTCGCGGGTGCAATGGACACTCTATAAACAACCACAAATTTCACCCAAACTCACGAGAGAAATAAATGTAGGCCATACAAATATTTCTTTCGGCCCGGGAATCGAACCTGTGACCTCTGCGTGGCAGTACGGCATGGTAACAGTTCGGCCACGGAGGTAATAAAATTTTATTCCTTGTGGTTTTTTGTGTTAATATAAAAAAATACGCGTTTTCAATTATGTTGTAACGTTTTATTTATTGTTGGACGACTGTCGCGTCTAGCCTGTTCCCATATATCGACTATGTGTCGTGAATGTGTTGTGGACGTTTATTGTATCGCTGAACGACTGTCGAGTCTAGCTGTTCCCACAAAATCGTGACGACAATTTATCAGCAGCTGCCTTGCCGTTTGCACGACAAAATCCTTTGAAGCTGCAATTACCTGTCGTCACATTTTTATCGTGTCTTTGTATTTATCGTCTGACGACTGTCGTTCTAGCTCTTTCCATTGTCACAACAATCTGTGAACGACAGTTAATCATTTTGTACTATAGGTGAACAATTTCATATCTATGATGACACTTTAAACTACACGACTATCTGTCGTCACGACATAACGAGAACACGCCCTAAGCGGGCGGTGAACCAAAACACTTGAGAACCTATACTTAGATCATCAGTTATATATTTTTTAATTTTATTTTAATTTTTTTTACAAGTTTACAACCCCGCCAAGAACGACTGGAGGTATAAAATAACTTCACTAAAAAAGATACATAATTTAATGATATTGTGTACGTTCTAAGGTTTAATATTATGGATATTTTCATTCTTAATGAAGAAAGAAGATATCCGTAATATTAACCTTAGAACTAAGTCCAAACTCATGGTACGACGATTTCGTTCAACTAAGGTAAACGATTCTTTCATGGGGAACTAACTGTATATGTTTTTACAATAAGATTCCGGAGAATATATTAAGATTATCATTTCCTAAGTTTAAAATTTACATTAAAAGTATTTTAATTGAAAAGTCATATTACAAAATTGTAGTCTACGTGTTAGATAAAGATGTATGGAAAGATAACAAGAGTCTAAATTCCACACAATTGTGATTCAAAAGAGACAGGTGTATGGAAAGACGACACGGCTCCAGAATCCACACACATTTGATTCAAAGTGTATTCCATAGCATTTAAGTTTATTTGAAAAGTACAATCCCTAGAGTTTCTTGCTCGTTCTTCTCAGGGAGGTCAGCGTAGTGAACGAGCAGTTTAAAAAGTAGCTTAAAAAAAGATGTTACACTTGAAAAATTTGGCTTTGACTCTTGGCAGAGTTGTATACTAAATATACAAATAAAATATTTACACACATATTGATTTCTAATTCGACATTGCAGTGAAATTTCTAGCAAAGCCTTTTTGGGTGACCTTGATCCTTCATGAGACCTATAGTGATTGACCACGTCGTAGTGCAGCAAGTTATCGCTGGCAATTAGGGATGCACGGTATTTTCTTTGAATCGATTTTCTGGATCGTAATCATATACCTACACACTTGAATCGATCTCATAAATATCGTTTCAAGATTTGGAATAAATAATCTCAGTACAGAGTATTAAAAAACCGACCTCAAAAGTCATTCATCCCTTAGTTTGCTAATCTTAGACGTGGAATATATTCTTAAAAATTGGAACTTCTGCTGAAGTACTCTAAAATTGGTTCACAAATGTTGTCGTAACATACATACAAAGCTGTTGTCCACTAACTAAAACGCGGCAAGTGACAAGTGGTCAAATAACCGTTTTAAACAGTAAAAAATAGAGCACAAAACTCTCTTTTAATAATCTCAGTACAGAGTACTAAAAAAACCGACCTCAAGTACGTGGAATTACGTCTATTTGCTAAGTTTCATTGAAATATCCCCTAGTTCGCCACTATACAGGACCTGACACTGGAGATAATAAAATCGGTTCTCACTACGACACTACTCAAAATATATCGAGGGAAAACGCCTTGAATTGATGAAATAGCAAAATCAACTAAATAAATGGTAAAAGTAATTGCTCCTAAATTAAAGTTAGGCGCTATTTATAAAAATGAATCTTCATGCGTGAACAGCCACCCTTTGAGGTGGATGATTTCCTTCAAAATGAAATGGGACCACTGTGGAAGTACCTCCTTTCCAACAAAAAAAGAATCATGAAAATCGGTTCACAAATACCGGAGTTATCGCGTAACATACATACAAAAAAAAAAAAAAACAAAAAAAAGAACATACAGTCGAATTGAGAACCTCCTCCTTTTTTGAAGTCGGTTAAAAACAGTTAAAATTAATTAAAGAGTTCGACTTATCGGAACTTACCCTAACGATGCATAGCTGAAATACCATTAAACAATTTCAATATTAGAAAACTGGGTTATGGTTTTTTATGACATATCAAAAAAATATTTTGTCACTTCGTTTTAGTTAGCGGAAGGCTGAAAGAAAAAACACAGTAAAATAGAGAACCTGCTCCTTTTTTATAAGGTTAGTTAAAAATTTATTAAAATTAAGTAAAATATGAAACACCACCATTGGATAATCGTTTATTTCTTAATTTAATTGCCACAATAACAAAAATTAAAATTTTTTGCAAAAAAAAAAATGCCATTTCTTTACATCTAACTAAACTTTTCAGTAATATTGTCATATAGGTTCTGTCTAGGATTTTAAATTATATGAATAAAATTTGGGTCCCCGCGGCAAGGTGCCCAAGATGCTGGCAGCGTTCCCCCTTTATATTGCTATGCTAATGCGTTGGGCAAAGTAGCTGTCGGCTCTTGGGTTTCCTAGACAGTCTACTAATTTTTTCGATAAAATTTTGTACAGCTGAAGGGCACTGGGACCCCGCAGGCCAATGGTTTCGACTCCAAAGGCTGTAAATAGGTAGTCGGACCTGAGCTCCTGGTACTTATTACTTTTTATTCTTTCTGCCAGCTCAGCTTCGGAGCCAGCCCTCTTGCTGGTGTGCTGGAGAAAGGATGGGGCAAATGTATTTTATTCATATAATTTAAAAATTCTAGTTTTACTTTCTAGTATTTAAGTTTTTATTGTCTTTTTTACCTATTTATTATCTTAATTAAATAAAATCAATACTTCTATTTAATGTCCAAAGCATTGTCCTCTTCTTTATTTTCCATTTCTGTACTTGACGAAGTTAATAAGATGAGGTTTTCGTTGAAATTGTTAATACGTTCTAAACGATTCAATTCCCAATAATTTTGAATCGATGCGATGTTTATAATTACTTCATTTAGAAAAATTGCATTTGAATTAACTTCCGAGTTAAGGGAAAGAATTTCGTATGTTTTCATGAACAGCCGGCCGGCGGCGTCAGGGACTCAAGTTCAAAGATCGTCGAACGATGCGTGACGTATCGAACAGCACCTATCTGCTCTTGTATTGGAAGCGATTATTTTTATTATTAAATAGGTGAAATTATCAAGCTAGCGTGTACTATTTAGTTTGAATGAATGCCTTGTGGTACACCTTAATTTTTAATCAACTTCCAAATAAGGAGGAGGTTCTTTTTTTTTTATGTATGTTACGCGATGTCTCACCGTTTTTTGTTGGTTCCTTTTTTTTCCTTTGTTGTTGATTCCATGGTCACGGTTAACTGACCAGTCAACCTAAATATTCCTAAATATTCCACCTGTTTTATTTTTGGTAATTATTGACGCCATACGACCTGTAAAGGGCCCGGAACGTTGGTTTGTTTAAAAAACAAACAATTATACGCGATTTATGTCCGGAAAAACAGTTTTATTTCATAGTGTAACAATCGCGAAAACCTGAGAACTCGATAAATGGATTATAATTATTTGAAATAAAATATTTCCATTTTTTTTTATTTTATTTATTTATTTTTATAAAAAAAAATATTTGGTTACGGTGAGTCAATTTTGAAATAATTCTTATTTTGGTCCCAAGTTAATTTGCAAAATCACAATTTATTGGTTTAATCTGTGTACAACTGTAACATATAATATGTACATCACACTCCAATGGATCATGTATAAATAAGATAAGAAATTTATATATAAGCTGAGTTCAGCTTTTATGAGTTGTATTCGGCCACCATGGGTGCTTACGTCTTCCTTTTGTTAGGTAAGAAGTTAATAATATTTTTTTTCTATAGTCTGTCTTTTTGAAAACGGAGTAAAATGACATTTGAAGGGTTGCCAGTTTTCATAAAATTTTAAATAGTCATGTAGTTGTTGTCGATAGTTTTATCGATAGATTGTGAAAGAATATTACGACCATCTAATGATTGCTAATTGCGTTATTACCTTCTTTGCTCTTATTTTGGCAATTGTTCTACTGGTATAGCGATCAATGTTTACACACACATTTTAACAAGAATAGCCGGATTTTATTATCTTTAGAGAATTAAATTGAAAATCTTTAAAATCTTTTTTATTTTTCATAAACATAGTTCTAACTACAATGTATGTATATATCCAAACACTTCAAAATATTCTATCACATGATTTCTAGACACCCCTAAACATACATCGGTTTGCCTGGGTGCTGCGCAAACCTCATAAAAACCTATAAATATGCACGACAAAAGGTAACCTATTTTACTTAGGAGTATAGAATTGACAAAATAAAAAAATAATAGTGTGCAGTCATTGACTTACAAATAAATGGACGACGGGTCTAATACAAAAACCACGAAAAAAATGTCCCAAGTCAACCTATTTAAACGTAGTGACATGTAAAGGAATATGAAAAAGCTAAAACGTTAGATTTAAATTGTAATGTCATCGCAATACTGTCCAATTTTGCTTGCTTCGCTGTCAGTCGAACAAACGAAGACTAAAGCGTGAATGACGCTCTGTATAGGATTTTAACGCCCTATAAGTTCGGACACTTTTTAGCGCGGACCCAACGTCCATATAATTGTAAGTCAATGTGTGCAGTATATTATTACGAAATAATTTTGAAAGTCGGTAGCAAGAAAACAAAACAACAAACATCGTAAAATGTAACACAAATACATATAATAAAAGACAGTGTACGTACATATGAACTTACAAAAATTGACGATTCAAGACTCGAGGATGATCCAAATGAAACAAGTTCGGCTATTTATCCCATAATCGTGACCAACATTCAGTCGATAGTTGATGGAATATTTATCGACTGCAATCACTAGCTGCTTGCAAGCGGGCAACACTTTTGCTCAACGAACTGTCATTTTAATCCGTCTTTAAAAAAAATAGACTATATTATATATATAACTAGTCTATAAATTACTAGCAGGTGCTCACGATTTCTTTTGCGTTGAATATTTCGACTAGCTTAGAGTACTATTAAAATTTTTCTCCATACCAAATTTCATCCCATACTTCACTACCATTTAGAGTCTGTACAACTTGAAATGGCTTTGGTGGAATCCGCATAACAGTAAAATGTTATCAATCACTTTTGAAAAAATATATATAGAAAAATTGAGGATAAAATATATACTGATTACTATATGGTGTGAAGACACGAACCTAAAAATTGAAAAAAAAAACACTTACCTCGAAATTTTACAAGAAAACTGTATTCAATATGTGATATGTATGTAATCGATTGGTACTATTCTATTTGTACCATCTCCGAGTTACGTTTTTTAACCGACTTCAAAAAAAGGCGGAGGTTCTCAATTCGAATGTGCTTTTTTATATATCATCATAATGTACGGACAACGGTACACCAGACTACACATTTTTGTTCAAAAATCGCCTCCAGTGCAACGGAACAGGATACGTTAGCTTGATATGCAAAGTTTGAAGTCGGTTCGTTTCTTTTTAATAAAAGTTACAGTTATTGTATAGTACATTTTAGAAATAACTATCAAAAACAACGAAAAAATGTTGAGGTGCCATTTTCACAAAATTATTATTGTTGGTTGACAAGTTGTTGCTTAGCAGCATCCATATAAACTAACTATCAATATTTATTTCACCTCACTAGCTCGGAAATGCTTTCGTTCTCATTAGAAATCTGCGCGTAATAGCCTTTTTTTCGTTTGTTCGAAAAGGTTTTTGAAACTCGAACTTGACGATGTAATGTGGTGCACGTAACTTTTTTTCGATGAAAAGAAAAACATAATGATACGTTTAACTACGCGATTTGTCGTGCATTGTTTGTGTAATATAAGTCCGTTGGTATATTTTACTCCTATTATTGTTGTCATTAAATTGACAACAATAACTTATTTTGTTTATTAAAACTGATTTGTTATAGTTCAACTGTTTTTCTTTCATCTATCATTTCCCTCGCTATAGTGAGGTGAAAAGTCTTGTGCCTTGGAACCCTCGCTACGCATAACAAATAACTATTATTTAGATGATTATCACTAGTATCAGGTTTCTTACCACGGTATGACTTCTTTTTATTTTCCCGATATTTCGGACCGGTTGCACGCTCCATGGTCACGGGTTGACTGGACGGCGGCAGATGACACTACTATTTATTTAACTAACTATTATTAATAACGAATTATTATTTATTTCATCGTGTTTTCACCTGCTCGGTACTCCATGACTGCTTATGTCCTCAGCGCTGATTAGCACCGCCTTCGCCGCTCCAACTCCTCAATGCGGCTCCCTCAATGACTCACCTTGCGGGCCGCAATGTGGGTCGCAGTGGAAATGCTACCGCACCAACGAAGGAGCCACTGTCTGCATCGGTCAACCCGGCTGCCCATCCAGCGGGCAACCGTGCGTCAACTACGGCCAAAACTGCCAGCCACCCACATCCTGCTCAGCCACCATTTACACCCCTAGCAACTGCAACCCGTGTAACCCATGTAGCACTCCCCCACCATGCGCACCGGCCCCCTGTACCGCCCCCTGTGCCCAACCCGACCCATGCACGTGCTACAAATAAAAAAAATGTGTAAATAATTATTTTAAAAAATATATAATGCGCAAAAATTACGAATTGGCATGTGAGTAAATTTAAAAAAAGGAAAACAAATTTAGTGAAACATTGTTCTGGTGAAGATATTTCGGAATTAAACAACTTTTTTTTGGAATTTCATATTATTTGTTTTATTTTTTATGATATCTAACAAGTGCTAAGACGAACAAGTTGTGCACCCGGTGGTCAGCGGCTCGCTTACCGTGGTCAAAGTCAAATAATTATTTATTTCGTGTAAATTTTTTACCCTCGAAAACGTCATTTTTTAAGCTACTGCTCGTTCACTACGCTGACCTCCCTGAGAAGAACGAGCAAGAAACTCTAGGGATTGCTCTTTTCAAATAAACTTAAATGCTATGGAATAAATATACTTTCAATCAAATTTGTGTGGAATCTCAAACACTCATGTTGTCTCTCCATACATCTTGATCTTTAGATCTTTAGATCAAGATGTATGGAGAGACAACATACTTTTCAATTTTGCAATATGACTTTTCAATTAAAATACTTTAAACTTAGGAAATGTTAATGTATGCCCCAGAATCTAAGGTTAATATTATGGATATCTTCTTTCTTAACGAAATTATGTATATTTTTACGGGCATACAAAAGATTTACTACTACACTGTACTGCGATGCCACAGTCATGATACCAGTCTCCTTAAACTTTTCTCTGGGAGAAATCCGAGAACCTAAAAGGTACACAGAACGAATCGCTCGTATTTGCAACACAAATATGGTTTGTATATCTGCCGCTTTACCCCACATGAGAATCCCGTAGGACATTAACACTTGCAGTGTAACTCAAGCACTATAAATAGCGAAGGCACTGCTCCAGTCACCCTCAGACATAAGTTGACAAGTCCTGTGTTCAAAACCGGAACAAATTATTGCTCACAATATTGTTTGGCGCCTGAACCAGGTATGGCGAGCTTCCCAGGACGAACTCTATCACAAAGAACTCCATATGTCTATACATTTCAAGTTATTAACCGACTTTAAAAAAAATGAGAAGGTTCGCAAATCGATTTTAATTTTTTTTTGTGTGATTGTTACGCTATTACTCATTTGTAAACCTTAATCTGTTTGGTTTTTTAAATAAAACAAGTAAAAATGATATTTGTACGACATGGCGTTCAATAACGGGAAAATGTGGTCCTTCCCGTAACCAAAAACCGCACGGCAAATACTCTAATGTTATATACCTATTATATACTAACACTTAGTACATTATGTACATTCCGGAACGCTCCTGAACGTCAACTGAATTGTCTGTCCGAAACTCCGTTAAAGTCACTTTGAGTTTGGCTTTGACGAGATTAATGTTATTTAGATGCTGTAATTGACCTTTGTAGAATTACCGCGCCGTGTGCGGGTCACCTTCAGGGACATTCTCCTAAAGTTACATAAAGAGATATGTGCTTGTTGTTTTATATTATTTAAGGCGTAATGGTATCGTGGTTGTGTAAGTTTTAAGAAGACGCGGAGAGGTGTGCCTCAAACTCAATGTACGACATTTAAACCGAGGTTTGAAATTGTGAAGATATATATATATATATATATATATATATATATATAATATGTGAGTCACTACCAAGGCTCCATCATTCGCTCGAGGTTACGCGATAAGTGCCTACCGCTGACTGTACCGCCGTCGGCACAAGCGCACATACAAGTCTTTAATTTATGAGCATTCGGCTCCGCACGACAGCACACGACGGGCAACGTTATTTTCAACATAACTCTGAGCGCATGCTTAGGTTCATTTTTCCTCGTCACAACCTGTTTTCATTACTCAGATTGAGTAGGCTATTTTAGATTTTGTATGAGATTGATGTATCCGTTATGTAATAATTATTAAGTAATCTGTGTCACTACAATGGCTGTCTTAACCTCTTAAACGGCATATTTTGAATATCACCCGGAATCTTATTACAGAAGCGTATATTGCAAATATTTCACCTTAGATAAATTTGTGACTAAATCAAGAATAGCAATAGCAAAAGATATTAAGGCCTACTGGATATTTTATTTTTTTATATCACCAAGTGATAGGATGAAAAAGTTGTGCGCCTGATGGTAAGCGACACACCGAATCACAAAGTTCTGAGGAACACTGCCACTGCACCCGTCACCCGATACATAATTGAAAAGATAAAAGTGCCTGTAATTATACCAACACCTCTTACCCTTTAAAAATCAGAACGCAGCAATGCTCACTTTACTCTTTCACAAGAAGCTCTGTTGCTACTAATTTTTTTCATGGAAGTTGCCAGCGGGACTCTGAATTTGGAGTCCCCTGAAGCACTGCCAAACTGAACTACGCCACTAGCCTGTCTATAACTTCAATAATATCAATGCCTAAATATCCTAATTTGTGGTCTCCGAAGGTTAACAAGGGTCATCCTTAAATGGAACTAAAACTAGAACCGTGTACAACTTAAATCAATACAAGTAAACAAAACTAACTATTGAATGTCAATCGACTAGAAACACTGATTCCTGAGCGTAGGGAGGGTTTTAAGCCACGAGACGCGAAACAACTTTGCTGCCGAGCGAAGCACACAACTTTTCACCTCACTATAGCGAGGGAAATGGTAGATGAAAGAAAAACACTTGAACTGTAACAAAATAATTTAATAAAAATATTATATAGTTATCTTTGTCAATTTAATGTCAACTACAATAAAAATAAAATATACCAACGGATTTATATTACATAAATAAAAATGTACGACACATCGCGTAGTTGAACGTGTCATTATGTTTTTCTTTTCATCGAAAGATAATTTCAGTACAGAGTACTAAAAAAACCGACCTCAAAAGTACGCGGAATTCGAGGAAACGTCTATTTGCTAAGTTTTATTGAAATATCCCCTAGTTCGCCACTATACAGGACTTGACACTGGAGATAATAAAAATCGGTTCTCACTACTCAAAGTATATTGAGAGAAAAACGCCTTGAATTGGAGAAATAGCAAAATCAACGATTAAAGTAATTGCTCCTAAATTAAAGTTAGGCGCTATTTATAAAAATGAATCTTCGTGCGTGAACAGCCACCCTTCACGGTGGATGAATTTCTTCAAAATGCAATGGGATCACTATGGAAGTGATTGTGTGCCTTTCCAACAAAAAAAGAATCATGAAAATCGGTTCACAAGTACCGGAGTTATCGCGTAACATACATACAAAAAAAAAGAACATACAGTCGAATTGAGAACCTCCTCCTTTTTTGAAGTCTGTTAAAAAAGTTATGTGCACCACAGTCCATCGTCAAATTCGAATTTCAAAACGTTTTTGCGCAGATTTGTAAGTATATCCTTTTTGAAGACGGAGTAAAATGACAGTTCATTGAGGAAAAGCGTTTCCCGCTTGCGAACAGCTAGTGATTGCGGTCGATAAATATTCTATCGACTATCGACTAAATATTTGTCACGCTTATGAAATAAATAGCCGAACTTGTTTCATTTGCACCATCTTCGACCCATTACTCATCCAATTACTGAGCACAAGTTCATGTGAATTGTCAATTTTTGTAAGTTCATACATACGTATACTGTATTTTTAACCGACTTAAAAAAAGGAGGAGGTTCTCAATTCGACTGTATGTTTTATTTTTTATTTTTTTGTATGTATGTTACGCGATAACTCCGGTATTTGTGAACCGATTTTCATGATTCTTTTTTGTTGGAAAGGGGGTACTTCCATAGTGGTCCCATTTCATTTTGAAGAAAATCATCCACCTCGAAGGGGGCTGTTCACGCATGAAGATTCATTTTTATAAATAGCGCCTAACTTTAATTTAGGAGCAATTACTTTAATGGTTGATTTTGCTATTTCTCCCATTCAAGGCGTTTTTCTCTCAATATACTTTGAGTAGTGTCGTAGTGAGAACCTATTTTTATTGTCTCCAGTGTCAAGTCCTGTATAGTGGTGAACTAGGAGATATTTCAATAAAACTTAGCAAATAGCCGTAATTCCACGTACTTTTGAGGTCGGTTTTTTTAGTACTCTGTATTGACATAATATTATATGTATTTGTGTTGCATTTTACGATATTTGTTGTTTTGTTTTCTTACTACCGACTTTCAACATTATTTCGTAATGATATACACACTATTGTTTTGTCAATTCTATACTCCTAAGTAAAGTAGGTTACTTTTCTGTCGTGCATATTTATAGGTTTATAAGAGGTTTGTGCAGCACCCAGACAAACCGATATAGATTTAGGGGTGTCAAGAAATTATGTGATGTAATATTTTTTTATAAGTTGTTATAGAAAATAAAATAAATTAACTTTGTTTATGAAACATACAAAGAGGAGGCATATTTTAAAGTTTTTCATTTTAATTCAATATAGATAATCAAATCCAGCTATTCTTGTTAAAATGTATATGAATAAAAATTTATTTTAATATTAGAAGGCCAACTGTCAAAATAAGAATAAAGAAGGCAATAACGCTATTAGTAATCATTAATTAGAACAGCCTCTGCGGCCGAACGGTTACCATACTGGACTGCCACGCAGAGGTCCTGGGTTCGATTCCCAGGCCGGGAGAAATATGTCTATGGCCTACATTTATTTCTCTCGTGAGTTTGGGTGTAATTTGTGGTTGTCTATGTATATGTCCATGGCACCCGCGACACAGGGTTTCCCTAGTGCGGGGCTATGAGAGTGCTGCGTTAAAAAAAATAACGTCGTAATATTCAAAATTCAGTTATTTTTGGCAAAATTTTATCTTCTTTCACAATCTACCGATAATACTATCGACAACAACGACATAACTATTTAAAATTTCATGAAAACTGGCAACCCTATAAATGTCATTTTACTCCTACTTCAAAAAAGACAGACTAATTAGATTGTTAACTTCTAACTTGTAACGAAGAAACCTAGGAGACAGGCTTAGCCTAGTGCAGGAATCAAGACCAATTATCTCTCTACATAGGGGAACGTGGGGTATTGGGAGCCCGCGGGTAGTGAGAGCGGTGTTATACTGGACGTTCCCAATG